GGCTGGAGGGGACGCGGGTGCTGACCGCTCAGCAGGACGGGTGCCCTGCCTGGCCGTTGCACACTGCTCCTCAGGCCGCCTCGACAGAACGGTGGATTTCCCTTTTCTCTCTCTCGCTGAAGCCCAAGGCCTGTTGTGCTGCTGAAATCGCGTGTTTCTGGTGGCTCAGAACCCTTTACTTTAGCCAGAGGCTCCAGCCGTGGCAAAGGGTGTGTGAGTGTCAGCAGCCAAGCGCTCGGGAATGCTCAGTGAGAAACAGGGAATTCCTTCTGGGATGCTACAGGAGCCTGGAAGCCAGGCTGGCCATGCTGCCACAGGGCAGGTCTGTGCGCGGCACCAGCAGGTCGGGCCTCCGAGCAGCTTTCACCACACCCCTCCTGGAAGACTTTGGCTAAAAGCTGACCCCAGACCGCTGCTCTGTTGGGCTTCTTCCATGCGTGGTGGCGTTGCTGAACCAGCTGGTTCCCGGGTTTTCCAGCTCAGTGTTTTCCTTTGCCTGCAGTGGGAATTGTGGGGTTTAGCAGAGCTCAAGGAACCTGCTCTTGTGGCAGCAGTGGGAAGTGAGTGGATGATGCCCCGGGGCGCGGAGCCCCTCCTGAGTCCTCCTCTTCCTTCCTCCTCCCCTCACAACGTGTCTCCTGGCCTCTTTCTCAAGGGAATTCCTCAGCTCACACCAGGTTTGAGGTTCCTGCATTTCCTCCCACTCACGGGGGGTCTGTGCCTGCTCCTTCCTGGCTTTCACCCACTGCCCGGTGGGCGCTGGGGCAGGATGAGCCGCACGGGAGAGGTTCACGTGTGGCGCCTGCGCAGGACCTTGTCCTGCTTCAGCAGCAGCGCAGGCACATCTCATCCTTCTCCAAGGCACTTGTGTTTCTGTGCAGGGTCCTTTCGTGTCTGCCTCCTCCTGCCCTTTCCTTTGCAATTGCAAGGGAGGTTTTGGGGTGGGATCTCTGGTGAGCAGCCTGGTGCTGGTGGCACGAGGGGAAGAGGAGGGCTGGGGTGAAGAGCTGCCTGTTCCCACACCTGCCTGCAGCCAGGAGAGCTGCTGGCTCTGACTGAACACAAGGGCAGAATGTAAACCCTCCGTGGCCACAGGGATTGCTGCAGCTCCTCTCAGGGTGAGGATCTCTTGGGAAGATTTCACTGAAGGGTTCCCTGTGCGCTGTTGCTGGTGTCTGTTTCCAGCAAGGACAGCAGAGGAGCAGGAGGTCTCACTGATGAGGTTCGGTATCTGGGTCACTCACCATTGCCTCTGTCTCTTCTCTGGTGAGTTTTGATACTGGGAGAGGATGAGATAAAAGGAACATGTGCAGTGAGATAGAACCAGGGCTCAGCTGCCCCGGGCAGGGGCCACTTGCTAGAGGGATTTGGAGGTGAGCTCTGGGTCCTGTGTGAGGAGACACCAGACGTGGGCAAACAAGGTGGCTGCTCTTCCCTCCCGTTGGGGTTTCTTGATACCAAAAACTGGGCAGAGCCTCCCCTCTTGTGCCTCTTAAAGAACAGGCTGATGCTTTGTGAGTCGCAGGGCTTGCTTCAGGGAGTTGAGTCATTTCTTCAAGCTCTAAAGCCAATGCACATCATAGTCAAGTCCTGCTTTTCTATAGCTGTGGCTTTGCTTCACTTGGTTGAGGTTGCACACCAGAAGCAGAGAGCTCCTTTTCCTGTGTTGAATTCCCTGTGTGTGTGCTGGGAAGTGTTCTCACAGGACGGAGCATTGGCTGGTCTAAAAAGCCTCATCTTCTGCCTGGCTGGAGACCACCAGCGGGAAGAGCAAGTGCTGTGCTGTGTCTTCAGGGGCCGGGTAACTCCAGCTCGGGCTGTGTCAGTTCTCTCATGCCCCAGTTCCTCTGTAGTGAGAACCCCGGAGTCTTTCAGGGTGTTGCAGCTCAGTCAGCATCCCTGAGGAGTTTCATGGGCTTCACAGCACTGTCTGGTCTCTTCTTGCAGGAACAAGTGACAGGACAAGAGGAATCAGCTTCAGGTTGCACCAGGGCAGGTTTAGCCTGGAGATTAGGAGCAGCTTGTTCACTGAAGGGGTTGTGAAGCCTGGAGCAGGCTGCCCAGGGCACTGGTGGAGTCACTGTCCCTGCAGGTGTTGAACAGACGTGTAGAAGTGGCACCTGGGGACAGGGTTTAGTGGTGGCCTCGGCAGTGCTGGGTTAATGTTGGACTTGATGATCTCAAAGGTCCATGTCTGTGACTTGGCAGCTGATTCCTGCAGCTGCCAGGAGCCAGGGTTGCGTTTTGCCAGCTGCAGAACTCCGGCACTTCCAAGTTGGAATCTTTGTGCAGTGCTAAAGCTGGTGGTGACTTGAGGCCAAGAACCTCGTGAGCCTTTGCTGGAGGGGCACATCCCCACCTCAGACCATGCTCTGTTAGAAAACTGTTTCCAGGCTTTTCCCCCAGAGCTGCCTCTGGTTTAGTGTGTTCCTGCCCAGCAAGTTGTTGTCTGAGAACATGGAATAGCTGATTTCATTGTTACCACCAACTTCCAAGAGCTTTGCAATCTTTGGCTCTGAAGTGGAGAAGCAGGTTGGGCAGCCACAGCTCCCGTGTTCAGAGAGGGACACGGAGGAAAATCACAAGCCTTGGATAAGAAAAGCTTCCCGAGTCCAGGTCTCCCCGATGGTGCCACGTTTCTGTGCACTTGAGGCCAAAGTGCTGTTAAAATCCTGCTGGGTTGAGGCTTACTCTCCAGCAATGGATAACCAGGACAGGGTGCTGCGTGTGGCTTCACATCTGAACCCTTGGAAGGTTTTTGTCCTTGAATTGAAGAGCCGTTGCAGATCTCCCTCTGAGAAATGGTCTCCTGATCTCCAGCCTAAGATTAACTGGTTGGATTCTCTTCTATGCTGGTGGCATCCTTCAGCAGCAGCAGCAGAGATCATCATCCTTCCTCCTCCTCCTCCGTGTTTTGATGTTCTTCTAGAACTGACCCAGTCCCTGGATTCCTCTAGTTCCTGTGTCTCTACCCAAGGTCACTTTTCTCTCTGTCCCTGAGCACTGTACTTCTGCCCAGGATGGGGAATTCAAACTGAGGAGGCCAGAGAGGGGCCGAGACCTGCAGCAGATGAGGCTTTGGCAGCACGAGAGCGTTGAGCAGGCAGTGGTCCCTTCTGGAACTGCTTTGCCTGATAAATCCTGGGCTCTCATTTGTTTCCCAGGACTGTTTTCTGCTGTGCTTTATGGGGGTCACAAGGAGACACCCTGTGTGTGCTGCTGCTGCTGCAGCTGCTGGACGGGACGGGCTGAGGTTGGTTAGAAAAGCTCCCTGAGCCCCTGGCGGTTCGTTGTGTGACAGGCAGGAGCTGGGGGCCGGCCGGGCTCAGGTGCAGCACCGGCTTCCCTCCCCTCTTCAGCCCCTGCTTTCATCCCACCCACTTCTCCCCTCCTCGGTGCACGAGCTCTCTCCTCTTGTGTCTGTCAGTGATGACTGTGGGGATGATTCCAGTTTTCCCAGAGTGCAGCCAGTGCCTGGCGTGGGGGTGCGGGGCTGGGGGCCGGGTTGGGCAACAGCACCTTGGATGTGCCCCCCAGGTGTGTCCCCATGTGTGCCCCCAGATGTGTCCCCGTGTCACCCGTTCTGCCCCGTCTCTCCCAGCAGCTCAGGATGTGGCGCCGGAGGCTGGTGGGGCTGCTCCGGCTGCGCCCGCCCGGTGACACCAGGCCTGTCCTCGCTGCTGCCGCTCGCTGCCACCACACCGAGCCGGAGGCCCTCAAGTGTGCCTGGCAGTTACACCGCGACCACCTGGGTACGTGCTGGCTCCTGTGTCCCTGCTCCCAGCCTGTCCTCAGCCCTGTCCCTGCGACTGATTTGTTACCTGTGTTCTGAAATGGGCTGTGCTAGAGGGGTGCATGCTGGACTCCGTGTCCATGTTCCCTTTGGGAATTCCCAAAGGCAGGACTGACTGTTGTCCTGGGTTTGGAGGTGACTTGGCAACTGAGGCACAAGTTTCCCCAGGACCTGTTTGGTCTGGTCCAGGCTCTCTCTGCTGAGGCCAGTTGGGTCACTCGCAAGCAAGGGGAATTGCTCGGTCCTTTATCCAACACAGTGCCCCCAGGAAAGAATATTGTTTTCCCACTGCAAAGTGACCTTGGATACTTGGATTCAAAGCTGAGTGGGACTAGAGCAGGAAGCGCTCTCCTCTTTTCTGTGTTGGCTCCCCCTTCTGAAGGGCTTTGAGCATTCCCAAGCTGTCCTGGGATGGAACAAGGAGAAGAGGCTTTAAACACTAGATGGATGTCAAGGCCCCGCGTCAAGGTCTTGGTGGGGCCTGTAATGTGTGTGTGGTTTGGATGCTGGGGTGATTATTTGACTCTTACCTGTATTACTGAACTGGGGTCTGCAGCTGGGTTTTGTACAGCTCTGAATTTACTCCCTGTTGAAGAGAGATGATAGAGGTAAGTATGTGACCAGCATGTTAGCTCTGCTCCTTCCTGCTGCAGGGTGAGCTAGGTGAGAAGGGAGCCCTGGTGAGACAAGTGACAGCCAGGCCTTCTGTGAAGACCTTCCATAGTGTGACAAAACAGCTGTGCCCCCCTGTCAGTGGGATCCTAACCTGTGGGCTCAGTTCTGGTGGTGGTTCTGCCTGTTGGCAGCAGCTCTGAGCCTGGCCTCCTCCGCAGAGCTCAGATACGCCAACACGCTGATGCGGCTGGACTTCGTGTGGCTGCGGGACCACTGCCGCTCCGCCTCCTGCTACAATGCCAAGACCAACCAGCGCAGCCTGGACACGGCCAGCGTGGACCTGGCAATCAAACCCAAGACTGTGCGAGTGGATGAGACCACGCTCTGCCTCACCTGTAAGTAGCAAAGCGCCTGCTCCGTGGTTTCTGGGCCACCAGCCCTGCTCAGAAGGAGCCTCGATGGTGGATCCTGCTCTAAGGTGTGCTGGGAGAGGGCAGCCTTGTCTCTAAATCAGTAGCTCTTTTGGGAAGAGATCTGGCTGTAAGCAGATTTTAAACTCTTGCTGGAACATGTCTCAGTTTTAAATGTGTGTCTGTGTTTCTTCCCCCTCCTCCCCAGCCCTTTTTGGGTAGAGGTGTGAGTATCTTCAGTGTGTGGTGTTTCACTGGTTTGTTTGAACCCAGCAGCAATGCAGGCAGCCAACAGATTGATCAAGAAATGGTTGGGTTCCTTTTCCTTCCTATTTGAGCTGGTATCCCAGGTCAGAACTCGCATTTTCTGACCTTTCTCCTCAGTCGCTCTCTCCCTTCTGTTGTAACTTGCCTTTATGTATGGGCTGGTCTTCAGTGCTCAACTTCTCCTTGGAGTCCTGCCGGTAGAAACCAGAACCACTGAAGTTGAGGCCCTTGGCTCTAAATTTTGCTCCTTGCAGCAACAACGATGCTTTCAGGACTTGCAGCCTTAACCAGACATTATTTTGGGTGGCATCAGGGTGCAAAGAGTCTGTTACCAGCCAAAATGAATGGGGTGAGGACTGTCTGAGACTGGTGGCTGTGCTGATCGTGCTCTGGTGGTGACTGGCTCTGCTCCCTCTGCTCAGGGCCGGACGGGCACGTGACGCGCTACGGGCTGGAATGGCTGGTGAAGAACAGCTATGAGGGGCAGAAGCAGCAGGTGATGCACCCCCGGATCCTCTGGAACGCCGAAATCTACCGCCAGGCCCAGGTGCCCTCCGTGGACTGCCGGAGCTTCCTGGAGACGGACGCGGGGCTGAGGGAGTTCCTGCAGCACTTCCTGCTGTATGGCATCGCCTTCGTGGAGAACGTCGCTCCCACCAAGGAGGACACAGAAATGGTGGCGGAAAGGATCAGCTTGATCAGGTAACTGGGGCTGCCCCGGGAATGCCACCGCAGCTCTGCCGGGAGCTGTGACAGGCACACCGCTCACTTCTGCTTTGGGAAGGCGCTGCTGCCTTGGCCTGCACGTCGTGCAGCGGGGCCTGGTTTGCAAAGCAAAGGTCTGGGTCTCCCACAGCCTTGTGCTTGAACCGAGATGGAGTCTTGCTCTGGGGGATCTGCCTCTTCCTAGGGGAGAGCCTGGAGGCATGAGGCTGTGGAGCTGCCTCGGGAGCGTGTGGTGACTTTTGTGACAGTGGGACTGCACACGGGGAGGAGTGACTGGAGGAAGTGGCCTGTCTGGGAAGAGAAGAGCTTTGCAAAGAGAGACATTTCCTGTTATGACTTGGAAGGTTAGGAGGGCAGCCCTGGCCCTGGGAGCCAGGGAGATCAGAACCAGTTTGTAGCTCTCACTGAAGAAAAATAGTGAGAAATGTTTCTGCTGTGTTTAAAGCAGCCCAAGAGCGTGGCAGGACAGGGTTTGAGTTTCAACTCTTATCCAAGCTGCAGAAACACTTGAACTTGCCTTGGGCTACTGGGAGAGGAGGGATTGCTTCTAATGAGTAGAAATAAATAGAAATGAGGGGCTCCAAGGCATATCCAGGCAGCTTTTTGCTCCAGGTACCCTCCCCCTGTAGCCCCTGAGCACTTTTTGTCCCTCTGTCTGTCCCCTTCTGTGCATGTAAGATCCTGAGAACAAGAAGCAGGCTTGTTGCTGGGTGGGTGCAGGCAGGGGCTGGCTGTGCCCTGGCAGCTCCTCGAACCGCTCAGGGGCTTCCTTGGTTTGACAGTTGCCATCAGTCTTTTGGGGAGGACAGTGAGAAGCTGAACCCTGGAGGATGCATGGGAAGCACCTCACAGCCCTTGGCAATGTGAATGTCGTTGTTCTGCTCTAATTTCCTCTGTACAGAGGCTGGAGGGGAGTGACCTCGAAGCAGGAGAGGATCTGCTTTGCCCCTGCCCCCTCAGCATGTGCTGTAACCCCTGTCCCTTTGCAGGGAGACCATTTACGGCAGGATGTGGTACTTCACCTCCGACTTCTCCCGGGGGGACACTGCCTACACCAAGCTGGCTCTGGATCGTCACACAGACACAACCTACTTCCAGGAGCCCTGTGGGTGAGTGCTTCTGCTGGGGCTCCACTGTCTCCAGCGCTGCTGATGCTCTGGGCACTCAGCAGTTCCAGGTCCCGTCTGATCCCTGTGCAATGGGGAGTCTGTAGATCACTTTTTCCTATGCTTGGAACTTCCGGGCCTTCCAGAATGCAGGCAGCTAAGGACTTGGCTGTTAGATAGTGACTGCAGCTTGGTACTGCTGTGGTTCAAGTAGTCCTTGTAACCACAAAGGCGACTCAACACTGTGGGTGTTTCTGCGCTACCCTGAAGCTTCTCTGACAGTCTCTTCTCAGAGCCTCTGAGATGCTACACAGCGTCCATTGGGGTGAGCAGCTGGGTTGAGGTGTCTTTCGGGTCCACGTGGCAAAGCACAGCTCCCCCTGCAGCAAGTGTCCCTCATGAGCTGTTGTACAAAGCTGCTGCTGGAAAGGTTTGCTTTGCCTTTCCCCTGCCGGCCGGGGCAAACCCTCCTCACCCTCATTGGTGCTGGCTCTGTGGTCTGGGGAGCTCTGGGAGAGCAGCTCCCCTTGGCACGACATGCGGAGGCAGCTCAGAGGCCCTGCTCACCTTGCTCTGCACCAGTTCACGCGGGTTGGGGGCTGCATTTTGGCAGGGGTGCAGCCCTGCAGGTAGGCTGAAGCCAGGCTCCCCCAGCCCTGCAAAGCTCACACCCCTGCATGCTTTAGAAAGCAGTTTGTAGCTGCAGCGTTGCTTCACAAAGGCTGTTCTGCAAACTGCTCTTCTGACACAGCCTCTAGGGTGTGAGTTTGATACCCAGCTGGAGATGGAAAGGCAGCAGATCATGGCTCATGGGGGAAATGCAAGACACTTTAGGCTTAGTTTCTAGCCTAAATAGTGTTTTTATCTGCTTTCATCTCAGTCCAATGGAGAAATAGCCTGGGGGAGATGGATGGAAGTACTGTGATCTCCTGCAATCCAGGGTACAAAGAGAAGTCCACGCCTCCCACCCCGGGGCAGGATCAGCTCTTCCCAAGTGAGGCTGTAACTTGCTAAACATCTTAATGGGAAAGGTCTGCGGTGCAGAGCTGGAAAAGCAGAGGAGGATTCAGGGGGAGATCTGTGGACTGCAGGTGGGTCTTAGAGCAGCCCTTCAGACCAGGACCCTGAGCCCTGTCTGTGCCTTGCCAGGCAGGAAGCTTTGGGGAGGCAGCTCAATGTCAGGGGCAAAGTCAATGGGTTTGACTGTGCTCTGTGCAGCTGGAAGTACACAGAGCACAGGTCCTGCCCCACGCTGGATGTAGTTGGCTTCTCTGTTTTCAGTTAACAGCTGAGTGTAGAACCCCTGTGCTGCAGTGACCTGCATGGTGTGAGCTGTGTGGTGTTACCTGCTTGGCTGACTTGGTTTGGGAGCTCACAGAATCTTCCCCAACATCAAATAAAACAATAATGAGTAATCAGAACTTCAGCCTTCAAAAGGGCTTTGATGTAACTGCTCGGTGCCAGAACTACAGAGCTCATTAGCTTCTTTTGTATCTTTCTTTTCCACTTGGAAGGGTTCCCTTCAGGTAGGGAACCTTCCACCTGCACCAAGCAAAGGCAACATGGGCTCAGTTAGCAGGGCTAACCGTTAATGCTTGTAATTCTGCAAAGCCACAGTTGTGCAGGAAGAACATGAATTTCTGGCTTTCTGGGCCCCCATCTGTGCCAGAAATCCCTTCTTCCCAGCCTCTTCCAGACTTTATTCCAAAACACTTGAGTCTTTGACCTGCTTCTAATTGAAATGAGGTGCTTTTCAAGAAAGATGTGTTCATTTCCATGTCTGCTTCCCCCCACTGCTTTGGCTGAAACCTGACAAGTCTCAGGTTAAATTACTACAAAGGGTAGAAGATAGAAAACCCCCAAGCTACGGGAAACACTGCAACATTATCCAACTCCTCAGGTACCAAAGAGCCTGCCCAGAAAAGAGGTTTTCTCAGAGCCCTGAGCTACAAGAGGAGGTTGTTGCCTTTGAGGCACAGTGTCCTTTGCTCCATTGCTCATACACTGACTTTGTAAAGGGCGAATAGAGCACCCAGGTGAAAAGGTGCTGGTGGGGGTGCAGCAGGGAGGTGCTGCCCTATCCCCTGCTGTGGGGCTGGGTTCAGAGGCCCTGAAGGGAAAGCAGAAGATAAAGGCTTTCCAGGAGGTCACCATTCATTTTCTAACAAGGGAAGGTGGCACAGTGGGAAAACGGGGAGTAGGTGGCTGGAGGCAGCTCATGGGTGTTTGCTTCTAACAGCACATTGTCCACGTTGCTTGGACACAGGAAAAGAGGAGCTTCAGAGAAGTAATGGAAGGACAAAAGCTGAGTTAGATGGTTTCCCACTGGGGAGGGATGTGCCTGTAGGTAAGCTGCTCACTGGGGACTCCTCCAGGCTTTCCAAAGGGTCTTTAATGTGTTGCCTTGTGGGAGACCACAACATATGTGCCTTTGAATGAGTCACCCAGGACTCCCCTGGTACTTCCTAACAACTTCAACAGTACAACCAGCATTTCTTTACTGTCCTTTTGTTCTGAGATGGTGTCAGGCAGTTGGGTTTATGCTGTGGAATAGCTTCATTCTGCTGCCTGAATAGACTTTGGATGAGATGGGCCTCATCCTGCCCCACTGGAACTCTCCCAGGCTCATGTCACTTGCTTTGGGAGGCAGTGTGGGCAGTCAGCCTGTTCAGGAGACAAAATGGGTGAGATTAGGCCTTAAGCACAGGCAGGTACAGCCATCACTTGCTGGTCTGTCTCCATTCCTGGCAGGCCTCAGTGAAACCAGAAGGGTGGTTGCACCCACCTGCACCTGATGGGGAGCACGGGACAGGCAGCCACGGTGTCTCCATGCTCTGGTTTCTCTTGCCTGTGCAGCATCCAAGTGTTCCACTGTCTGAAGCACGAGGGCACGGGCGGGCGGACGCTGCTGGTGGATGGTTTCTACGCGGCGGAGCAGGTTCTCCAGCGCGCCCCGGACCAATTCGAGCTGCTCACCAAGGTCCCGCTGAAGCACGAGTACGTTGAGAACGTGGGAGACTGTCACAACCACATGATTGGGATTGGGCCAGTTCTCAATGTCTACCCCTGGAACAACGAGCTTTATCTCATCAGGTAACACCCCGCGTGAGGCCTCTTGCTAATGGGGAGGAGAGGGGATTGGGGCGGACAGCAGAGGGTTTCAGGAGGTATCCTAAACTAAAATGATACCTTCTAGTGGAAGGTGTCCCTGCCCATGGCAGGGGGTTGGAACTGGATGAGGTTTAAGGTCCCTTCAACCCAAAGCTGTCTGTGGTTCTGTGAAAAAACAATCTCTATTTGAGGGGCAGGGGTGAAGCCACAGGAACAGCTCACGTTTCCTCCAGGGCTGTGCACCGCTGCTTTAGAGGAGGCGTCAGAACCACCCATACAACGATGGGTGTCAGTACTGAACTCTGGCTTTTCACTCCTCTCATCCTCACTTTAGCTCCGTGCCCCCATCTGCCTTCATTGGAGAGGCAGTAGGATTCAGCCCCTCTTTGAAAAAGCCTCTAGGAATCAGCCTGGCAAACAGGGAGAGTGTGGACTGGTCCATTTCCAGAGGAAATTTGAGCTGCTTTCTGCAATTCCAGCCTGGCTTAGTGCAGGAGCCTGCCCAGCACTGCTTTGCACTTTTTTTCTGACAACCCGTGGCCTTGCCCGTTGCTGTGGCACATCCTTCCATGGGACACCAGCAAGAACAGTTTTACACTTGATAGTAAACTCCTCCTTGCTCCCAGTGCTGGGTATTCTCCTCAAAGTCCTGCACTTGCAGTGTAACCTCCCATGTCATCTCTCTGGCCTCCTAATACTGCCTAATCCACCAGGCTCCTGCGGTTCCCTGTGGGAATACCCGGCTGTGCTCGTGGAGCCACGTGGGCAGTCTCTGACCTCTTCTTTGCTTGTAGGTACAACAACTACGATCGCGCTGTCATCAACACGGTGCCGTACGACGTCGTGCACCGCTGGTACGCTGCGCACCGCACCCTCACCGCGGAGCTGCGCAGGCCAGAGAACGAGCTCTGGGTCAAACTGAAGCCAGGCAAGGTAGGGCTTGAGGCTGGGAGACTCGCCTGGCATTGGTGCGGGGAGGGAGGCAGGGCCCTTTGGATGTGCTTCCTGCCACTCAGATAAATGCTTCACATACTGCAGCTTTCTTCCCAGCTCTTCTAAGGTGGCCTGTATTACAGTACTGGCACCTGTTGGGGGTGTGTGCTCCTCCTGTCCTAAAAGAATATGAGCTTCCAGGTAAGGCAGAAACGTTTAGTTCAAACTCTGCCTCGGGAAGGTTAGTCCCAGCTAGAGGAGAGGAGACAGATCTTCCCAGTCGTTGCAATGAGGACCCCCAGAACAGAGGGGCTGGTAACACTTAGTGTTCAACCTCTGGCTTCTTCCAGAAGAAACTTTCAGTGTGATGGAAATACAAAGGTGTAGGAAGCTGTATTTACTTCTGCTCTGGGATTATCTTTTAACCCTCACATTGCCAGTGAGTCGCAGGAGATCTGGGCCGTGTCCCAGCAGCAGCCAAGATGCCTTAGCACACCTTGGTATTGGGAGGAAAAAGCTCTGCCCTGTGCTTTGAACGGCTGATGCTGGGTTTAGCTTTGGAGGAACTTGAAGAGCTGGAGCCACGATTGTAGACCTGAGGGTGTAGCAGTGTGTAGCTTCTTCCTTCAGCTCTGTCTGCTTGAAAGGGTTTTTATTCCTTCAGGGGCTAGATTCAGCCTGAGCCCAGGGCCCCAGAAATCAAAGGGTCCAGTGGGGAAGAGGGTCATCTTAGAGCCCCCACACTCCTCTGTTCCTGAGGATGCCAGGGGGAAGTGACAGTCTAGAGGCAGGAGATGGCCCCTTTCTGTTGCTGGTGGACTACTGCCCAGCCCCTCCATTAAAAAAGCAAAGAAACAGCCCAGAATGTGTCTCTCTGCTTTGGTAGCCCTCGTGTTTTCACTCCTGGTGAGCAGCAGAGCAGAACTGCTGCTTCAGGTAGAGCAGCTGTGCTAGGTGATGTGAAACATTTGGCTGTGGTCTCGTGTGCTGTGTGACAGTGGTGAGCAGGAGGGGTCGTGCATGAGGGACCTCCAGCTTCCAGAGCTGTCCTGCCAGAGGGTCCTGGCTGTGGTGGCTGCCCTGCTGATGGCCCCCTCTCTGCTCCTGCAGGCCCTGTTCATAGACAACTGGCGTGTGCTGCACGGGCGGGAGGCGTTCACCGGGTACCGCCAGCTCTGCGGCTGCTACCTGACGAGGGACGACGTGCTCAACGCCGCGCGCCTGCTGGGGCTCCGCGCTTAGCCCGGGCACCTGCTGGTGTCACCCCGATGCTGTTGCACATACCTCAGACACCTCCACCCTCTCCGAGCCGTTCCCGGTGCCTGCTCAAGAGAGGGAGCAGGTAGAAGCCAAAGGGAGTTGCGGGAACTCTGTGGGACCCTGTTCTGCCTTGGAGCACAGCCACCTCTTGCTGTCTGCACCCAGCCTGGTTGGTCCAGCCCCTCAGACTGTCCTGGCTCTGCCCAGGAAGGGCTAATCGCTCCATGTGAAGTGCTCCTCCAGCCAAGTGCCTTCAGGATTTGGACTCTTTGCATTTATCCCTGCTGTTCAGCCTTCGGTCAGCTGGAGGTCCAGGTTTTGGGGTGGTTATTTTCAGCAGAGCAGAATGGAAATCTTTGGGGCCTTGTCTCACCCTGGGCTGGACTTCGCCCCTTCTAGAGAACAGGAAAATCTTTGGTCTCTGTTTGATGTGAACATCTACTTAAACTAGGGGCTGTTGGCATATTTCAGTGGCTTCTTAAGCATACCACACACCCCTAGAACGGTGGCTGATACAAGCTGTGTTGCTGGAGAGGCAGCCTGCAAAGAGAGAACCCCATCTAGTGAGGGTATTTCTGAAGAGGTCTAGGTTAGAAAGAACAGGGGAAGTAGCAAGACCTGCATGTTGGGAAAGAGAGCTGTGTTAGAGGAGGGATGTAGGTCTCGTGCTTCCTGACTTCCAGTATCACAACACACGTGTTCTTGTGCTCGAATCGAGGGCGAAGGCTCAGCAGCCCCAGGATCTGACAGATTTCCCCTTGCGCCTGCTCCTTCACCTTTCCTGAAGAAGGTGTTTGTGTAAGGTTGTCATTTCACCAGCTGCTGGATGGGGCTGACCAGTTTGGGTGGTGCTTTCACCAGATCCTCCTGTGTATGGAGGCAGTGAACACAGAGGTGCCTTTCAGCTCTGGGTAGCTGGGGGATAAACTGGTCTGGCACATGGAAGGGACACAGTGTAAGGAACAAAGGCAAATCCTGTTGTTATTAGAAACACTGGACTTCTAGAAACATGAGAATTTAAGAGCCAAGAGGGGATTTTAGGATTTGTGTCTTTGGGGGTGTCTGCTCTGCTCTGACTAGACCTTAAATCAGAGCTGGTCCCTTTCACTCCTGGCCCTTCTGTGCAAGCAGGATGCTCTAGTGTGCAGGGTACATGTGCTATATTTGCTGCCTTCATTTAACCTAAACACTGACTATATAGGTCCTAGTGCTGAGAGACTCCTGCAAGAGTGGCCTGAGCTGCCGGACACTGACTTTCACAGTATTTCTCACTGCTGCAGGCACCAGGAGCTTCCCAGTGAAGGCTTGGCAGGGAGCTGTGGATCAGAGCGGGGGTGAGGAAGGGAAACGTGAGCAATGGTGGCAGGTAACAGCAGCCTGAAGTGAGGTGGCTTCTGTCAGGTACATCTCCCAGGGACTGTGAGCAGCAGCCTCGGGCACAGGCAGGAACTTGAGTATTCCTCTAGGCTGAGGCAGTGAATTCCCTGGACAGGCAGCAGCATCCGGTCTGTTACTTCCTTTGCCAGGCATTTTGTTGATAGGTTCTCCTTGGGTGCCAGTTACACCAGCACAACTTAGCTGGGCAGTTTTACAGGTCTTCATGAAGGTGTGGAAGCAGCAAACCCCAGTGATTCCATACACCATCCCGCTCAGGTGCTCCGGGGTTGGCTTCCCCCAGGGCTGCTGGGTGAATCCAGGGCTGGGAGTGTGGTGGTGACAACAAACCATCTCTGTGTTCTAAACCAAAGGATCAGTATTTGAAAGCCTGGAGCGGTGGAGCCCTCTCACAAGGTATTTGAGGGTACTGAGGGTTCCTGAGCTCTTTTTGCCTCCCTGTGCCCCCAGGATGTGAGGGGAATACTGTGGAAACCTTTCCCTGGGGACATCAGCTTTACCTGCCGCTGCCCTGAGCTGGAGCGGGCAGGTCTGGGGCTGGTACACGTGTGCTGGTGACAGGTCATGGTGACACAGGTGCCTTCCTGCCGGGGAACGTGGTGCCTGTCACTGCCCACTCTGTGGCTGCTGCTGCCAAGGGCTGTGCTCTTCAGACACCAACCTCCTCTTAGGAGCCAATCTCAGGCCAACACACTCCCTCAGGGTGCCTGAGTAATCTCTTGGGGGTGGGAAATTGCTTATGGTGAATGGAGAAACGCATTTCCCCATCGGTGTTACTCTAATTTAGCCACTCCAGCACTAAGCTGTGGAGTGGAGAGAGCTTTGTTTAAATCCTGAGCTTCATCTCCCACCACTTCCCACAAGGGCTAAATTCTTCCTGTGCAGCTTTACCTGGAGGACCAGGGCTTCTTGGCAGTCAGTGGCTGTGTGAGCTGGGCACTTGCTGTGCATGTCATGGAACAGACTTTCTGTGCTCTAATGATACTGGATCAGGTTTTGTAATCGAGCTCTTTCAATTCTTTCAGCCAATAAATGATGAACTGCTTCCTTCCTTCTACTTCCCCTTCCCTGAAGATCCAATGGACGTGTTTAAGACATTTTCCAATAATAAGCATCCAAGTCTCTAAACAAATGATTTATAAAGTGATAATCTTAACAAAATACACATTTCGGGCAATCAGGAGCTTGAAACCAAGTCTGTATTGCCCATCAATGCGGAATAAACGTGAGGAGCAGTAACCAAGGCAGGTCGGTTGCATTCTCATCGTCCGTTCTTCCGTCGGCCACAAGGTGGCAGAAGATGCAAGGAACTGTCCCAGCCTGACGTGGCTTTAGGATTAGCGGTGCCGCGTAGAGCCCCAGCCTGGTTTGGGATGAAGGGACCTTGAAGCTCATCCAGTCCCACGGGCAGGGACACCCGCCACAAGCCCCAGCACTCGTGATTTGTCTCCTCAGGGTGCTCTTGGGACCAGTCCCCGCCCTCGTGGCTGTGCAGCACAGCCCCTCATTGAGCTCTTGGTGCTCCCAGAGTGTCCGCGTGGTGAAACCAGAGCCCCTGTCACCTACTGGTCACACCAGGAACCCCCATTTGCCCCCAGGACACCCCAGAGCTTCCTGGTCTCCCCCCGTGTGCCCCAGAGCCCCAGCTCACCTGTGGGTCATGGGGCTGCACTGGTGCATCCCACAGCTCGGTCTCCCCCGTTACCCTTGGGTCCTGCTGGCGCCTTCCCCTCCTCATGGGACTTGGGCAAAGACAAACTGTGGCTGCCCCATCCCTGGCAGTGTTCAAGGCCAGGCTGGGCACAGGGGGTTGGAGCAACCTGCTCTAGTAGAAGGTGTTCCTGCCCGTGGCAGGGGGGGGGGAATGGGGGCGGTGTCCCTTCAACCCAAACCATTCCAGGATTCTGTGATACATCCAAGCCCTTGAGGACTTCTCATTTGGCTCATTTGCAAAAGCTCGTGCTCCACCAGGATGAGCTCTCTAAACCCAGCCTGGAGCCACTCCTGGCACAGGGACAGCCTCCAATAGGGCTTTGCGTCAGCAAGTGTGCAGCAGATCACCTGGATCAAGGTTGCTCATGAGCTTTTTCCTCCAGTTTTCAGGTTTCATCTCAATTTCCATAAGATTTTTGCTTTATTTCCATGCCCTTCCCATATCTTTGCAGCCAGGGCGTGTATCTCGCTGGATGTTGGAAGCAAACAAACACTTTAATGTGGCTCCAGGTGAAGAGGATTTGAAGGCAATTAGGGACTAAAAGGGGCAATCTCTTGTGTGGGAGTTGTTGTGGGTCATAAAATCAGCCTCAAGGCTTTCCCTGGGTAAGAGAAGCAAAGGGGACTGTGGTGGTTGTCTGTGCACAAAGGACTGGGAGGTGAGGGGGGCAGGAAGGGGTGTCTCTGTGAGCAGCAGGAGCTCACTGGGCTCTCTGATGACGTGGGTGATTTTTGAGGAGGAAGCCAGCAAGAGACTGCTGCTTTGAGCGATCCTCATAAGAAAAGGGACCATGGTTATCTTCGGTTGCTGGCTGTTTCCAGGCTAAAAGGGAAGGGAAGGAACTTTACTCTTTCCAGCTTGTCTTTCCCCAAAACTGGGTGGTTTTTGAGACCTTCAGCTTTCCCTGTGCAGGGAAAAGCTGATGGGCCTATGGAGGTGTCCAGGGGTGGTTCTGCCCGTCCTGAGCAAGGAAGATGCCTGGCGCTGGCTCCCAGCTCCTTCCCAGGCTCTGTGGAGGTTTGTGACCACCAGCTTACACCCTTGTGACCATGGCCGTGCTGCTGCAGCAGCATGGGAGAGGGAAGAGAGAAGGTCCTGAGCTCGTGCTCAGCAGCTGCACGTCTGCTGATGGTCACCTGCTCCTCTTATCTCTCTCCAACCACCACAAGCCACTGGCCCCAGGCAGCGGGTATGCAAATGCTTCCTGGCAGCTGCTGTGAACAGCTTGGTGCTGCTTTGTCTGTTGTTTGGGCTCTCCTGGCCCCTCAGAAGGTGCAACACTAGAGATGGAAAAAGCTTTTAATATACTTGTGAGAGGAGTTAAGCACCAGCAGGAACCTGCCCTGGTCTGGTTTGTAGCTCTTCTGAGGTTAAAAGAGAATATGGTTTTAAAGTTTTCTTTCAGCAACCTGGAAGGATTAATGTGGCCGGAGTGGCCTGACTGGTGGAAATTGCTCTTTGGAGCAGTTACATGAAGAGGGGGACGTGGGTGACGGGGATGTCGTGGGTGGGCAACATTCACCTATGGCGGCTTGTCCTTCCTGCCAGCGAGTGAACTATCAGCCTGGAGAGACAAAGCTTCATCCTTCAGAGTCTTTCTGAAGACATCTTTGAGTGAATGCTCACCCCAAACGTTGCTGTTGCACATTGGTGCATCCACTGCAGCTGCCAAGGGCCACCCAAGAAATGTGCTGCTCCAGGGGAGGGAATGTCCCTTGGGAGGGGACAGGGCTGTTCTTTCACGGGTTGCGTTGTCCTGCTTATGTCTTGTCCCATCTTCCAGTTGCTTTGAGCTCAGTCACTGCATACAGAATGTGACATGTGATATGACCCTGCAAGGACCTGGCACTGCACTGAGGAACCACGTGGATGG